ACAACTATGTACTCATCATCTCCATGCCTTTGCATGTGCTGTTCCCTCCGCCTGGCAACCCCTCCCCAGCTTTTCCATTGGGGTGAACCATGGGCAGCTCTGCTGTCTTCTCCCCGGGAGGCCTTCCTGCTGCCCACTCTCCAAGAGCTCAGGTGGCCCTTCTTCGGGCACCTCTGCTCCCTGAGCCGGACCCCGGAGCGCTGGTCCATTTCCATGGCAGACTTTGGAGGGGCTGTGCATGTGGTCCCTGAAGTCCTCGCCTAAGCAGGTCTCTGAGCCAGCCTTGCTGGGTGTTGGTTGATTGACTGCTCGTGCCTGGAGCTCAGAGAAGGGAAATGTGGCCTGGCGGGAGGGAGGGGACAGGAAGGGTTCAGGAACAGCCACGGTGGGGGGCGGGGGGGCGGCAGTGAGGAGAGAGGCCTTCCTCCCACGCCCTTCTGTACTGGCACTAACGGAGAGACCACTCCTGGGAGGCCCCAGGGCGGCCATCTGTCTGCGGCTGGGCCCACTTTTCTGGATGCTGATGCCCACGCCCGGCAAAGGCCCAGACGGGCCAGGTGAGCTGAGGACACACTGGCTCCAAGGGCCAGGCTTCCCGGGGCTCTCACCGAGTGGGCGCTTCCGTGGGCTGGCCCTGGGCTCAGCTCGTGTGCGCCTTGGCTCAGCTCGTCCCCGAGACGCCTCGCACCAGGTGCTATTATTAGTCTCCCATTTCCCTGAGGAGGCTGCCAAGGCCCAGAGAGGAGGCCTGCCCAGGGTCACACAGGGAGAACATCCTGGAACTGGCTACTAAGAACCGAGGGCTAGCTGCCCTAAGTTCTTTATGTGTGTGAACTCGGGTAATGCAACACCCTGTGAGGAGGGACCATTATTCTTTTATTGAACAGAGGAGGAAACGAAGGCGCAGAGAGGTTAAGTGACTTGCCCAAGGTCAGCCAGCTAGGGAGGGGCAGAACCAGGGTTCTAACTCAGGCATGTGGCCGCAGAGCTTTTACGCACTTTCCTCTCAGCATGATGATGAGGGTGACCAGGAGGGGGCGATGATGGTGTTCCCTCGCAGGACACAGCACATCACAGTTTGCAAAGCTTGTGCACACGTGCCACCTCATCTGCACTTCAGCCCAGGGGGGAGACAGAGATCACAATTCCCATTTTGCAGAGGAGAAAATTAAGACCAGAGGAGGGTAATGACTTACCCAAGGTCACTCAGAAAGTTAGTTGCAGGGCAGAAGCCTGGGCCTCAGGTTTGCCACCCAGGCTCGGGCCCACCCTGGCCCACCTGTCTGGCTAACGCAATGAGTTTGGTGCCCCCTGAGGGAAGAAGTTTGGGGCACCCAGGTGGGCGGAGAGCTCTGGGCTGGGAGGCAGGAGCTGTGGGGCAGAGCCCCAGCTTTGCCTCTGGCTTGCCATGGGAGCCTCAGTGTCCTGATCTGTGACAGAAACGGCCTGGATCTGTCAGACCTGAGAGCACTTCCAGCCTGAATTCTCAGCCCCCTGTGCTGAGAGGTGCTTGGGGACGCAGTATGTCCTGCTTGCCTCTTTACTTGCCCCATTAGTGCAGCTGAATGACCCCATTTCCCCTGCAGGACATTTTTTCCCACCTGCTCACAGCCTCCTCCCGTCTGGTGCGGCCGCAGGAAGCTGGGAAGACGTTGGGCCAAGCCCAGAGCATCACACTGCTTCAGCAATCGGGGCCTCCATTTAATCTGCCTCGCATGCGGCCTCAGTGAGCACTTACTCCATTCTGTTTGACAGCAGAGCAGCCAGCCATCTGTCTGTCTGTCTGTCTGTCTGTCTCCCTCTCTGGCAGGACTGTGAGCTCCTTGAGGGCAGAGGTCGCATCAAAAGATAAGAGCTTGATAAGTAGTGAGCTCCCCATTCTGGAGACATGCACAGAGAGGTTGGGTGTGGCAGGGATGTTGAGCAGGAGAGAGAAGGGAGCTGTAGGGGGTGGTTGGAGGGTCTCGGGCTCCTCCAGCTCCTGGCTCTGAGACCCCATGCGTGGCAGAGGACCGGGGGCTCTGTCCTTCGTGGGAAGCTGAAATAGAGCAGAGAAGCATGAAACTGAGTCAGCAAGGATGTCTCTAGGTGACCTTTGGGTGGATGCTGGCCTGAGGGTGGATAAACTCAGAGCCCGGGGCTTTTGCCCTGGCCAGGTCCTCTCTCTATATGAGCCACACTGACCACCCACATCGGGGAGGCCTCTGTAGGGACCACATGGCCCCATGTGTGTCCCCGATGTTGGCAATGTCCTCAGAGGTCTGCTTGCTCGTTGGCTCAGGAGCTGACTCCCCTGGAAGCAGCCTGACCCCTGCTCCTTCTCACCTTGTTGGAACCCGGCTTGGGCGGTGGCTCTGGCGCAGCTCCGTGCAGTTGGTACCCATGCCTCCGCCTATTACCTCACCCACCCCAAAAGCTGGCAAGGCAAGGTTACCCTCTCTCTGTGACAGTTGAGGAAACTGAGGTCTCAAGTGTGCGAGTGTGTGGACAGCAGCCACAAAGCCTGGCCTGAGGCCCAGTGTCTCTCCCACCCCATGAGAATGCAATCTTCATGTGCTAACGAAGCCAGGATGGGTGAGGCCTGAAGAGGGCACATCCTGGGAGAGGCAGGGAGGTGTGGAGGGGGATCATTTATAGCAAGTATGCCCAGAGCCTGCACCAGGGGCATCTGCGTGTCCTGGACCATTCAAATGGTCTGGACTTCCCAGATGCTTCACGTTCTGTGGCCTCCGGGCCTTTGCCTAGGCCATTCCCTCCACCTGAAACACTTGTCCCCTCCCTCACCCTGGTCACCTTCAGCCCATCCTCCAGGTCTTGGCTTCAGTGCGTTCAGTGACTCAGTAACTATTTCCTGAGCGGTCACAATGGGGCAGGCACTGTCCAAGGCGAGCTGTTCCCAGGGAGCACGAAGAGAATTGTCCTGCCTTCTGGGAGTTTCCAGTCTCCTGAGGGAACCACATGTTGCTGACATCAAATGAGAGGGGACAGGCTCGTGGCTGCTATGGGCAACCCCCAATTCAGCTCAACACAGTGATCTATTTTGCACTCATGTCGCAGTCCAAATGGGTGGCAGGGGGCTCTGCTTCACTGTCGCTGCCATCCCCTCATCTCAGATGGGGTCCCATTAAACTGTCTGCATCAGACCATCAGACCGGTCAGTGAGGGAAGAGGGGAGCATGGAGGGTTGGGCAGGAAAGTTTTATGGCTGGGTCTGGAGGGGTGTACATGCCACTTCTGCCTGCACTGTACTGGTGACAGCTCGGCCACCCAGCCACACTTGACCACAAGAAAGGCTGGGAAATGTCCTCTAGCTGGGATGTCCAGGTTTGGTGAACACCTGGCCACACTCTGCCTGCAGTTAGAATCATGTAGACATGCTGTGCCAGTGTCCTGGGGCTGCTGTAACAATTTCCCAAACTTGGTGGCTTGGTGACCAGAAATTTGTTCTCTTTTGGTTCTGGAGGCCAGAAGTCTGAAATCGAGGTAGGGCCGCACTCCCTCTGGAGGCTCCAGCGCGGGATCCTTCCTGCCTCTCCCAGCTTTGGGGGGCTGGTGGCCCCATTTTCCCATGACCTTCTCCTGTTTCCTCTCCTTTGTGTGTCTCCTTTATAAGGATACCTGTCATTGGATTTAGGGCACCCCTGATACTCCAAGATGATCGCCTCAGCCCAAGATCCTTAACGATGACACCAACAGAGCTTTTTGCCAAATAAGGTAGAATTCAAGGGTCTGGGGATTGGAACTTGAACAGATCTGCTTGGGGACCACCTTTCAACCCACTAACGGGATCGCTTGCACTTCTTCACATGGCAGCTGGCTTCCAGGAGGGCTGAAACAGAAGCTGCAGAGCCTGTCAAAGCCCAGGCCCAGACGTTCCAGAACACTACTTCCACCGCATTCTGTTGGTCAAGGCAGGTCACAGGGCCCACCCAGATTCAGGGGGAGGGAAGACAGAATCCCCCTCTTGATGGAGGTGCCATAGGGCGTGCACCATGGGCCGGTGGTTGTGGCCATCGTTGGAAACAACCAATCAGAGTGTGTTTTGGTGAAGGCCTCTGCAGAGGGCCCTGGTAACTGGCTCCCTGAGGATGGGGTTGCTGATGAGGCTGAGGCAGAAATGCTCTGCCTGAGTGGGAGCCCCCAGCCCAGCTCAGCCATCAGCTCACTAAGTGACCTTGAGCCAATCCCTCATTTACTCAACAACATCCTATTGAGTACCAACTGTGTGCCAGGCCTCAAGCCAGGCACTGGGGTCCCAGTGGTGAGCAAGCCAGGTCCCTGTGGAACTTTCCATCTTGTGTGTCTTCTGGGTGACACAAGCTCATAAGTGGATAATCTGATCACAGAGTGCAACAAGGAGAAGAACAGCAAGGAGTTGGGCTGGAGAATCCCTGGGGACAAACAGGCCAGGATGAGCCACAAGGGCAGAGACCTGCGGGATGACAAGAAGTCCTGCCCCATTCTGGGCCTCAGTTTCCTCCTCTGGATGTCGAGACGGTTTGTCAGCAGTGGACCCAAACCACGTATCCTGGAGTCCTTGCGTTCCCCAGAGGCACCCTAGGGACTGCTGCAGCAGGGGGCTGAGCAGGGGGCATCTAAAGGTTGTGACTAATTGGGCTAGAAGCTTCCGGTCAGCTCCCACAGTCCAGGTTCCAAGCCAGCCGTCCCAGGCTCTGATCCCAGTGGCCGTCTGGGACAAAGTTTTCTGAGGATCTCTCTTGTTCCTCCATGGCCCTGCCAGGGTTCTGGGCTCTGGGGAAACAGAGCTGTTGGACCTGTCTGTCCATTGGACCCCCAGGTCACCCCACAAGCCCAGAATAGACCCTGCACCAGGATGCTTGTTGCTGCGCCCTCACCTTTGACCTTGGGTCTGCATGAGCCAGGAGAGCCCAGGGACCCCACATGAAGTGCAGTATCTCTCAAAGAGCTCAGGCTCTTTGGGGTCAGACCCTCCCCTCTGTGTGGCCCTGGGCGAACCCTTTGCGCTCTCTGAGCCTCAGAGTGAACCCTGCCTCATGGATGGAGCACAAGGGCTAGAGAGCTGGGGGGAGCCAGGTCCTCAGTAGCCGGCTGCAGGTCAGCACAGGAGGAGGGGGTAATTCTGCTTGGGAGTAAGGTCAAGAGAAGTGGCAGGAAGGGCCCAGCCTCCTGGTGCTCCTGCCCCACCATTCTGGGAAGCTCTGGGCCCTTCCTGCCCCCACGGGGGTTGGGAGAGGCGTCTAGGCCAGTTAGTCAGGAGGCAAATCATTTTCTTCAGCTCAGCAACCTTTATTCCTGTGTTCAGCCCCAGTGTTGGGCACTGGGTGGGGGTGGGGCCAGAGACGCTGAAGACAATAATCCCTTCCCTACTCTGGGCCTCAGTTTCCCTCTCTGTCACACAGGGAGGGAAGGCTTCCTCTGCTCCCATCACCGGGATACTGTGAGGATGGAAGCGACAATGCGCAGGCCCAGGCCTTTCAGCCACAGAGCGCCAGCAGTGAGGTCCCCCCAGACCCAGACGTGGTCCTTGCCTAGGGGGGCTCTCCATCCGGGAGGGAGGCCCATGCCACGCCCACCACTAGCTGCTAGCAGAAGGGCAGAGGGGCATGGCCTGGCCACTGGGTGATGTGTGAGAGCCTCTCAGCCACAGGTCTGGCTTCACTGAGCTCCAGCCTGGAAGCTTATGACTGGTCTTGTGTGGGGCCTGGGGCGTCGACACTCCCACTTCTGGGCAGGTTTCTAAGACCTTCATACATGTCAGGAGGGACCCCCACGCCCGGAGGGCAGAGACCACCAGCAGGCAGAGCTGAGCCCCCTCCTTCGCAGCCCTGTTGGGGCCCTTGCTGTGAGCGAGCCTTGGAGCAGAGGGCCAGAGTCGAGGTGCAACCACAGGGGCCTCAAGTGAGCTGGTGGCAGGCCACGTAGGCAGGCCGGAGCAGTCCACGTAGGAGGCCGCACCATCCACAGTCCAGAAGGGCCGCAAAGAGATCAGTCAGAAGACATGCCCATCTCCCCTGGGTGCAGGAGGGGCCCCCACCACTTCCAGCATCCTTAGTTGATGGTGCCCAGCGGGGGCTATGGGGAGGCCGGCCAGCTCAGGGTCACGCTGGGGAAGCTGGCGACAAAGCGCTGCCACCTTCTCCTTACCTGCTGGAAGACAGAGGAGGGGCAGATCAGGGCCCAGGTCCCTCAGCGGAGTACTGGGCATCGGTGTTGTTCCACCTGCAGCCACAAGGTGGTGGTAGACCCCAGAGACAGAAGCGCCACTCACTAGAGGAAGGAGAAGGGCCAGGGCCAGCAGCTCCCACCAAGGGGGTCCCGACCCCCGCTTTTCTAGGGGAGAGGGGAGCACAACCCTGGGGACGTTGTACGGGCTCATCTTCTTGCTTCCAGCAAAATCCGACCATGCAACACACTGACAGATTAATCATCTTAGAACAGCTCTGACCGTGTCACCTGCCTGCTCTAAAACCATCTGTGACTCCCCAGTACCTACGGCATAAATCCCAGACGCCTTCAGGGCCCTCTGAAATATGCTGCCTGGAATCTCTCTCTCCAGCTGTGTCTCCAGACAGCTCTGTTGTCTTCTTGGTCTGTGGCCCCGGATGTTTCTACCACTGAGCCGTTGCCGCCCTGGTCCCGGTCCTTGGAGAGCCCCTCCTCCCTGTCTCCTTCATCATCAACCCCTGGCCAAACCTGTTGATACTGCCTCAGCCATCGCTGGTTTTCTCTTTGCTGAACTTGGATCAGCTGTTCCGTGTCCCCCAGGCTCCCCGGCAGCCACTCCTGACCGGGGACATCCAGCCCTTCTGGGCCTCTCTCTGAGGACCTGGTCTTCTCACACCCCCGTCTGAGGCTCAGCGCCCGGTGACGTCGGCCCTCCAGGGGCCTCCCCCAGGACTCCTGGAGCTTGCCATAGGAGGGCCAGGGTCCTCGCCAGGACTGGCTGCGTAGCCCTACCCCCATGGTTCTGAAGGCTGCAGGCGCAGGACTGCTCCAACTCCCCAGCCAGCCACTGGCCCTCTGAGATGGCCTGGAGCCTCCACCCATCTGACAGGAGCTCACTTGGGGGCAAAGGTTGGAGTTGCTGAGGTGGCTGTCATAAACCAAAGGGCAGGCCACCGGGAGCATCCCAGAGTCACCCTCACCGCCACCTTGGCGCCTTCTAGGGAAAGGGGTGCAGCCCTCTTGCTCCTCCTCCTCCTCCAGGCAGCCTTCCTTGACCACCCCAGCCCTGAGGAGCTTGGCCTCCCCTGAACTCCTGCAGCCCTGGCTTCCAAATTCATTCCGCTGACAATGAGCACAGATGGCTCAACAGCAAAACAGAGAAGGGCTTTTAAGAAACAGGACAGCTCCAACCTTATTTTAGTCAAATTCACAGAGACAGAAAGCAGCACAGCAGTCGCCAGGGGCTGGGGGAATGGTGAGTTGTTTAATGGCTACAAAGCTTGCGTTTCGCATGATAAAAAAAAATCTGCAGACTGGTTGCACGACAATGGGAACGTAAGTAACACTACCGAATTGGACACAAAAATGGCTAAGATGGTAAATTGTATGTTTCTGTATGTTTACTACAGTTGGAAATTTAAAAAAACAAACAGAACATCTCCAGGATGGGAGTCAGGAGGCTAGGATGTTTTTCCAGGCCTGGCTCTGCCTCTCATTTTCCAGCGCAGAATAGAGTTAAGAGCTCAGGTTCTAAGGAGCAGCTGCCTCTGGGGAAATCGAGGCTCCATCCCTCCCAGCTGTGCGGCCCCGGCTGGCTCTCCCCCTGGTTTCCTCATCTGTAATGGGGACAAATAGCTCAGGTAATTGTGAGGATTGAATTCGACGATGCTGGGCCAAGCATTAAAAGTGAGTTGGTGGTGTCCGATATCTTGGGCAATTCCCCTTCCCTCGCAGTCAGTCTTGTCATCCGTAAAATGAGCTGTTGTGGAAACCAAATGAAATCAGGACTGTGGATGCATCTCAAAAGCCAGACAACCAGCAGCGGCTCTTTCTCCCAAGACAGGCGAAAGAGAAAGGTCCTGGGCGGGGCCAGCAGATCCGCAGTATCGTGGATCTTGAGGGCTGAGACGGACCTACCCGTTGGGTCCACAGTCCTTTTTGTTTTAACCGCTGTTTTCTGAGCATTTTCACTGGTTCTGGAGCTAAACCCTCCGTGTATTTCCTTTAAATCTCATGATAGTCCTTTGAGGTGGGCATTGTTATCCTCATTTTATAGATCAGGAAACTGAGGCTCAGAGAGATTAAGCACCTGGTCAGAGAGCATGCCCAGTAAGTGGCAGAGCTGGGACTCCCGCCCCGGTGAGCCTGGGTTTAGCGGCCCTGCTTCACCCACTCTCCTCTCCTGCCCTGGGGCTGGTGGCAGAGGCAGGACAGGAAGCCAGCCATTCTGCCTCCTCTGTGTCTGGGCGGCTGCACAGGGCGCCCTTCTGGCTCACCCGACTTCTCCCGCCCACCCCCCTGCAGCCTGGCCTCGCTCTCTTTCCTCTCTGGGAGTTGCTAGGCCTTCCTTGGGTGAAGGGTCTCTTCATACCCACCAGGCTCAGCTCCCAGCCAGAGGAGCTAAGGCAGAGCCAGTGTGAAGAGGAGAACGGGGACAAGGGGCCCTGAGCCTCAGGCTGGCTGGTCCCAAAGGTCGACTGTGACCTGCACCCGGGCCTCTTCATTCCAGCCCTGCCCACACCCTAATGCCTCACCCACAGGCCCACCCTGACCCTGGTTAAAACGCAACAAGACCGTGACACGCTCTTCAGCGCCCTCACCCCAGCACGGTCGGCTCCAATCTGCACTGTCGCCAGCGTTGGAGCCGGGGGAAGCGCTGGCTGACTCACAGGCTTCTGAGACAGTTGGGTGAATGACTCGCTCTTGCGTCAAGCACGCAGCTGCTGAATACCCTCCCGCCAGGCGTGAGATCTTACAACAATTTCCCAGGTCCGTGAAGGACAAAGAGGAAATGTGTTCTCTTCCTCCCCTCCCCACTGTCTCTCTGCCTTGTCACCCGGCAAGCTCTTACTCCCTTTCCAGACCCTGCTTGGTGACACCTCCCCTGGAAGCCTGCCTGGACCCTTCAGTCCAGTTAGGGGGTGCTCCCCTCTCCGGCACACCCAATACACGGTGGCAGCAATCACACACATGTGCCTTTCCCCACCACACTGGGGGGTCCCTTGGAAGCTAAGATAACATCTTTTTCATGTCCACATCCATCTGCAGGACATGGCACAGTAAACTCTTGGTCTTAAACATTGGTGACTATTAATTGCCTATTGCCGTGTAAGGAATTATCCCCAAGGTTAGGGGTTTAAAGTAACACTTGGGTATGACCTCACAGTTTCTGCGGGTCAGGAACCCAGGCAGCACTGAGCTGGGGACTCTGGCCCAGGGTCCCTCGCAGGCTCCAGTTGGCGGCTACAGTCCTCTTGAGGTTTGACCGGGGTGGATCTGCTTTCAAGGTCGTTCTAACCGTTGTTGGCAGGACTCGCTTCCTTGTGGGTTGTTGGACTGAGGGTCTTGGTTTCTTGTTGGTTGTTGGCTCTTGCCACGTGGGCCTCTCTCAAGGGCAGCTCCCCACATGGCAGCTGGCTTCTGCCGGAGCCAGCAAGTGAGACAGCAAGAGATGGTGGGTGGGCAGAAGCCAGAGTCTTTGGGGAACTTAATCTTGGAAACCACCTCCCATTAGGTTTGTCATATTCCGTTCCTTCAAGGCGATCACCAGGCCCAGCCTGCACTCAAGGGAGGGATCCCACAGGGCATGAAAGCCAGGAGGCAGGAGGGTTGGGGGTCATCACGGAGGCTGCTCAGCCGTGAGACCTGGAGTCTGAACCCATTGCGTTGCCTGAGTTTTCAGCCACGCCCTGTCACGTGACAGCTGTGTGCTTTGAGTGAGTGACCTAAGCTCACGTGCCTGGCTTCCCAGCTATAAAACGGGGATAATACCCTATTTCATCACATCTAAGATGAAACCGATGGGAAGAGAGCACTACTTTATACACCACTAAAAAGAATACCCACTGCCCATTCATTGGAAGATGTGCCCCATTTCAGAGAGGTTAAAATAGGGGGAAAAAATGTGCCTTGGAATGAAACACGCCGTATCTGTTTCCTAAGGTGGTTCTGAGACTTAAATGGCTGGTGCCATTCAAGGTTGTTGTGAGGTTCACATTCACGGACGGCTGCCCAGATGTTCCTTCCTATTAGCGAGCCAATGAAATTAGTCCACATTTACATGCAGCGGGCAAGACCTTGTTTTGTTGACGCCTAGGAGTGAGGCCGAGGGGAGCATGGTAGAATGTCTGCCCCTGGAAAAGGAGGGAGTCTCATGTACATAAAGGAAAGTACCTTAAAACAGAAGCCAAGTGGGGCCGGCCCCGTGGCCGAGTGGTTAAGTTCGCGTGCTCCACTGCAGGCGGCCCAGTGATTCGTTGGTTCGAATCCTGGGCGCGGACATGGCGCTGCTCATCAAGCCACGCTGAGGCGGCATCCCACATGCCACAACTAGAAGGACCCACAACGAAGAATGTACAACTATGTACCGGGGGGCCTTTGGGAAGAAAAAGGAAAAGAATAAAATCTTTAAAAAAAAAAAAAAAAAAACAAACAAACAAAAACAGACGCCAAGTGCTGAGGGTGCACGGAACAGAACAGGAGACCACATCTGGCCTAGGGATGGGGAAAAGCCGGGCAGACTCCCTGGAGGAGGTGATGTTGGAATTCAGTCTTGAGGGCAAAGAGGACTGGTGCAGTAGAGACGGGAACGGGATCCTGTGGGTGACCAGAGCCTGGGAATACACAGAGTTGCCCTAGGATGGGAGAAGAATCTGGAAAGACAGACGAGAGCCCACTCTCCAGGGCCAGGAAGAGGAATCTGACTGATTTTGGGAGGCAATAGGGACAGACTGTACCCTCTGCCCCAGGAGCCTTACCTCTGTGATCGCATTTCACCCTCACACCACTCTGGGGCTTAGCCCCATTATTCAGATCAAGTAGCAGAAGCTCAGAGAGGTGAAGCAACTTGCCCAAAGACACACAGTCAGTAGTGGGCTTTGAATCCATCCCTGCAGAGTCAGGCCAGCAGAGTCCTCAGCAAACGTGTGTTCCAGCCACTGTGGGTCAGGCCTGGGTCTTCCCGCATCCGAGAGGATGAACAGACAGAACTCTAAGCTTAATAGTTAATGCCGCTAGAATTTTCCTTGAAAATGGGATGCCCACCAGAAGTGAAATGAAGGGCTGTGCAGATATACATATTTGATTTTAAATTGTCTGTGCATGTTTCAGCTGATAATGTATCTCTTTGCTGGAGCAGCCCTTATAATACAATTTTGGGGTACTAGTTCTTTTACTACAGAACAATGGCACCAGATGTGACCACTGTGTGGGTTCTCATTTCCCTGCAGGAAGCTGGAATGCCAGGCCGTCAGGTTAGATGCCAGACTGTGGCCACCTTATCGCTTGGGGACATCAAAGAGAACGATAAATAATAATGACGCTATTGATTATGAAAGATCACAGGTTCTGCGCACCCGCTCCGTGCCAGGCGTTGTGCTCAGGCCTTCCCGTATGGAGGACTCAGGCGAGAGTTATTCTCAGTTTACAGACAGAGCAGTTGAGATCAATAGGTAGCGGGTCCCGGATCTGGTAACACAGGTGTGCTTGTGTTTTTTTTTCAAATATGCAGGACCTGATTATTGACGACGGGCCTGTCCCTTCTCCTGTCTGAGCCTATTTCCTCATCTGTAAAATGGGGCTGAGCAGACAGGTCTGGGCAGGGGCCTGAGAGGCTGTCTGTAGGATCCTGTCCCAGGTAGTCTGTGTCTCGTGGGAAATCTTGGAAACATAATTGCTCCAGGCCCTTCCGCCTCTGAGGTCTATGATCTTAGGACTCAAATTTCAAATCAAAGCCCTTCTTTTGAAACCTGAATTCTGCAAATTCTCGCCTTCTCTTTTTCCCCAAGGCAGCCAGTGGA